TTTTGGGTGAAGGGCTATATCGATGATTCACACACCATCAGATCGGCCAACACGCCAGCTTTAAAAGTATGAAGAGCTTTTTTCAAAATTATTTTTCTCTGCTGAGAAAGACGGCTTTTACTGAAAACCAAAGAGAAATAGAGAGGAGATCTTTGAAAAACCAGGCCGCGTGTAAAAATTGATCACAGAGCTGATGTACTTTTTCAGTATTTTGGATTTAGGAGCCGCTAGTATAATCTGACGACAAACAAGTTCTATCATTCTGTACAGCTCACAATTCTGCATCAAATGACGTATAAAAAACATTTTAAATCACTTAGAGATTGTTTTTTTTGAGAAGTTCAAATAGAAGATGCATTGCTCATTTTTGGCGATGATTTTCAGTAATTCACGAGTTCTTCATCTGTCATCCTCTGTTAAGAAAACAACGTTTTTTTGGTGCTCTAGAATTTTTTGAAGTTTGATTTTTTTTTCTAAGCTTGTTCTACCTTGGAAGCTTGAAGCATAACAGACTTTGATGATGAATTTTGCATATATGAGGTGTTCCCCTATTGACATCGTTCAGTGACACTATCTTGCTTAGCTGCTCTGAATATGTCAGAATTTGAACTAAATTGATATCGCAGTAGAATACCCATATAGAAGTTGTTAGATAATATATAAAATGAATAAATAATAATAATGATAATGACTACACCGGCGCCATTTTTCTGACATTTGAGTGTAAGATTAAAATAATAACCAAAAACTAAAAGGGCATAGTCAACTTCGATTTGAAGATCTATTAATGCCTGTTCTCTAAAAACGTGACTAGTATAGGGAATTGGATTAAGCGTCTATTACCTGATCCTTTCATATAAAGATTGTCTAATACTTCTGGCACTTTCGGGAGGGTGAGAAATATTTCATCGGTTCAGAAATATTTTCAAGAATTTTTGGGACTACCATTGGATTCCACGCAAAAAGTTGCTTCGGGAACCTTAGTATCTAACTATATCAGATATACTATGGGGACTTGGTTTCTTCTTTACTAAAATTTTTTTTTCTCTACTGATATGAACTAATGAAGATAAAAAACATGTCGCTAGATGTAACTTTCGATGCTCTATTCAACCATGTGTAAATTATTGCATTTGGTCAATGTATCAAAACTAAAGGTCAAAACCAGTGGAGACCGACTCGACGAAATACAATGCTTGTCGAAAAACCTTTGTAAAATCATTAAAACAAATCGCAGAGAGCTGGCCAACGTCTCATTTTGTAGGAAAGTGTTTGCTCTACATCTGTAATAATTCAAAAAAATCATTGACATTTGCATCAAATTTTAAAAAAGTAATAAAATGATGAAATATACCCATCTCCAGTATTTGATTTAAAAGTACAGCATGCGCATGTTTTAAAATGTTCTATTATATATGAATTGATGCAGAATTGTCTGCTCTACAAAATAAAGCAAGATTAATTTTGAGACTGCCATATGCGGGGTCTTTGTTTGAAAAATACTAAAAATATTACAATGCATATTTTAAAATATGAAATTTTTTCAGTTTTCTATTATTTGGTCCTAAATAGTTAAACATATTATTATGTCTGAATGCATAATCTTACAGAGTAAATATCACTCTTATCGAATGAGCCATGAACCAGTCATAGGAGTTTAATAGTTTTTGAGAAAATCAAAAAAAAACAAAGATTAGTGAAGATTCACGTTTTTCCGATCAATCGGCGACCTCCAACAGAACGTTTTGTCTCTAGTCTTTTTTTCATTTTAAAACACTTTCAGAAAGAATTACTGCAGGGTTAGTAGTCATTTTGAATACTCTTTCGAATGGCATGTGAATAATTAAAAAATAAAATTTGCAGACGGACAGTCTGTTCGGTGCTGTGGCGGAGGCTCTCTTAAGCTGTGTTTTCTTATTTTGGGAATATTGTATAATCACCACTATTAGGAACCCGATCGATTTTCTGTTATTTGTTTCGTCAAAATAAATAACTTAGCCGACGTACGTCAGGTTTTTTTCTCACCTATTTATTCATTTTCTTTTGTCTGACAGCACTTTCACTTTCAACTTTATTTCTCTTTGAACCGACTTGAACAATTTTATTGTTTATTTATTCTTTAGCATCCATCTCTTCTTCGTGGCAAGATAACAATTTAAAGTTTTTTTGAAGTTTGTTGTTATCACGCAAAGAATGATAGTCAATTATCCTTTTAATACGGCTTTTGAGCCGAACTATAGGAGAAAAAATGCTTCCTTTCTATACATAAAAATTTGTTCAAAAGTAATACTATAGCAAAATTTATTTCATACTTTCTTTTAACATATAGTCGAACTCTGCTTTATTGGATGAGACATCTATATTACATACACGATACTATTAGCTAATACATGCGTAAGTTGTTGATATAATATTTACTGTACTTTTTGCTTAAGAGGACCATTTGGTGTACTTGCTGTTGTTTAATTTTTTCTCATTTTTTTCGTGTTATAAACCGTTGTGTTTAATTAATTTTTTCAGTTGCACATCTTGTTTTAAAAATAATATTAAATGGATTCAATTTATTAATTAATTATTGGTAATGGTTGAAACTATAGTTACAGATGTGTGTCAAAATTCACCGAAGAAATGAAAATTGGGAAAGATGCATGGCAGCAAAGTTGAAAGGTAAGTGAATTTTTCAAAAAAAGAATAAGTACGCTCTGCTCTTTTCCTGACAAGAAAGTAACTTTCTTGACTAAAATTGTAAAGTGGTTTAGTCCAATCTCTTCCATAGAACGTTATTAATGTTAATTTATAATTTTTTTCTCTCTTTTAGTCCTTTTAAATATCGCTCTCCGTCTTCTCATGGTTGTATGTTGATGCTAGCATACAATCGTCGTTATTTGGATATTATTACAAGGTGTCTCAAAGAATGTTCAACTGCTGAAGATGAAGAAAAATTATTACATACAGTAATCGATGGATATCATAGTGAAGATGATTTTTTAAGAAATATGTTGAAATTATATGGTGCATATCGTACTGAAATGCTCATGGTGATCATTATACTGATATTCGAATTGAACCACACAAATTATTGAGCTATTTATTGAAAAATAATATGGATGATTATTATCTCAAAGATTTACAACAATGTAAAAGTGCGCTTCAATTATCGATCAAATTTTTAAACAACTGAATGCTTGTCGGTGGCATCAACGCATATTGATCCAAAACCATATGATAATGTCGTACCATTGAATGGTAGATACATGCATTATTTTTGTTTTGTAAAATAGTTCTTCTTCAACAGTACCATACCTATACTTGATCTTTGCCTATTAAAAAAAGTATTGTAGCTATACAGGAAGTAATACATATTTTGTAATTTTCCTGAACAGTTGATTCAATGATGTACTTTCATTCAATCAATAGTTTAGCTGCTCTTATCATCCTATCATTACAATATTCACTTGCGTTACTCTCTTTCAGTCAGCTATCCTAGTACACTTAGATGACTATAGCAGAGTGTTTATGTTTTTCTACGCGTAATATATCTTACTCCTCTAAGAGTAACAATCTTTCTGTAACAAAGGACCCTGGCGGATTTGGTGATCCCCCTTGAACCAAGAAACCAAATATGCAGTTTTGTAGAACAGCTCGCGACGCGTCGAATGGTATATAAGAAATTCCGTTTTCATCTAAGCTTACAGGATC